TGATATCCTATTTACAAACACCATTAGAACAAATCCCTCTATTCATTAAGAGAATGTAACTATATACCTATCCTAACCACTTTGAATACACAGATATCAAATGGACTTTCATCTGTATCCCCTTTTTTTGTTAAGTTCCATCATTTAAATATTATAGGTGTGTAAACTCAGCAAAATATTCTAAAAGAGTTCAGAGGTCCATAATAGTATTGGGTCTTCTGTTAGAATAAAGTTTTAAAAGGAATAATTTCTCCTGTACATTCTCCCTCTTACCAATTACTTTTTACTATGCACTAAGTACTGTTATGTGCTTAACATCTACTGTCACACTTAAATTTCAAACTTCACAATAGTGTAAGGCATAAAATGATCAAAGAACCTTGCCTAGTACCACACAGTTGCCAAGTGTTAGAGCAGGGTAGAAGCCAGCTCTAATTGCACAGCCTGAACCACAATGCTAACTTCTCTTATTATTTCTCTCAATATTTAGAGGTTGATGTGTTCTTGTGCCCAAGGCTAATGATTTCTCTCTGCTTTATTAGTGATAAGCAGCAGATTAGGTGGGAGTTGATGCTATTAGTAGATGCCAGGACTTCATCTGGTATAATCACTGTTAGGTCAGGCTTAGGCCCAAATCTTGGTGGGTGGGGAGCTGAATAGGCACCTGAGATTCAGACTTCTCCAAGCAGAGGGAAGGGGAGAGAAAGGGGATGCGAAGTCTAGAAATTAGTTGGAACTTAACAATTGAAACTTTTAAAAACCATTCTGCTTTGATTAAAATTGGGACAGGAAAAATGATGCTTCTCTAAAGTGAACAAATCATTACTCCCTGATACCATTTATTTTCAGAATTACAAGGTACCTGTGGTGTTACCTTGGTGGTTAACTTATTGCACTCAGCTGAACTAAACTAGCATGGTGCTGGGTATGGGAGGCCCATTTTACGATCACTGAGAGCAGCATAAGAGGTAGAACTGGAGGAGAAGAAGAAAAAGAGGCTGTTAGGGAAGCTCTTTCAAGAAGCTACTGGGAGCTGTTAAAAGCTTCTGGTTCTTTTGGGCAATCTGCTGGAGGACCTTGTCATGCTGGCTTTCCTGATGAACTTGGCTGTTGGCATCAAAGGAGGAACCTGGGACCTTGATGTTACTGAGGATAGCTGAGGTTCACTTCGGGGGAGCTCTGGTCATTATCTTGAGCATCACTTCCTGGATCTGGAGAAGATGGTGAATAGCTCAGTCTTCTGGAGAAGACAGTTGCATTTGCTTTCCAGACAGGAACTCAGCTTCCCTCATTATTAGAGGAGCTTGAAACTTCACTGTTGCCAAGGATGGCTGAGGTGCTTTTGGGGGGAGCTCTGGTTCTTTGAGTGATGCTTCCTGGCTCCAGTGCAGATCCCCCAGCCTGCAGGCACAGACCCTTCATCCCGCTGGCATAGACTTTCTAGTTTCCACCACTGACCTATGGGCCTTCCCAGCACAGATGTGTGAAGCAGACCACATGAGACATTGTCGTGGGCTCTAGGTCTCCAGTTGGACTTGTGGGAGGTATTGTTATGAGCTCTAGGTTTTCAGCTAGACTCATGCAGGATATTAGGATCCAGGCCCTCAGTTGGATTCTTTGGTCTTTAGTATGTGACAGATTTCCTTCACTCACTGTATATGATTCTTTGAGTTATTCACTACAAAATAATCTTGTGTCCTGTATTGCATTGTTCCCCTTGCAAAAAAACCCCAAATTACAACAGTACCTTATTTTGTTATCTATCAAATGAGATTGAAAATAATTTTGTAGGACTTTTGGGGATTATTTAAGTAAGTTAAATGTAGTTTATGGATAAATATTTGTAGATTTTATTAAATTTCCATGATATAAAAGGCATTAGGAAGAAATAAAAATGGAAGATCACTCAGGCTGTCACCAATTATTTAGTTTTTAAATAATGCTGCCCTCAACACATACTTTTTTTTTGGAACCAGGGATTGAACTCAGGCCCTTGCACTTGCTAGGGAAGCACTTATTCCACTGAGCCAGGTCCCCGACCCCTCAATACATACTTCTGTTGAATTATTCAGAATTATTCTGGGGTAAGTTAACCAGAGAGCCATTTGAAAATCACTAAGAGAACAAAATAAACTTTAAGGCTACTTCAAATTATGACTTTCAAGACATTTGATACTAGTAATCAGCTGTTTAATTGATTAGAGTAGTTTTCTGTGTTTAAGGTTACCTTATGATTTAGCAAAAATTTTTGTATGTTCTGAGGCTCTGAAAATTTGCCAAGCAGACATATCTCATTATTTCTGTTTTGTTTGTATGAGACAAGGTCTCATTATGTAGTTCAGTTGGGCTTTGAACTCATTATGTAGCCCAGGCTGGCATTAAGCTCACAGTAATCCTCCTACCTTGGCCTCTCAAGTGCTGGGATTACAGGCATGTGTCACTGTGCTTGGCCTGACATATCTATTTCCAACATTTTATCAGAAATAAAGAACCTTGTACAACTTACAATGTTCCTTCTAGGTTATGATATGACAAATCTATTCAGGTAGATACACCATAGACAGAGACAAAAAGAAAACTGGGCTGGGGAGATAGCTCAGTGGTCTAAGTACCTTCTTGGCAAGCGCAAGGACCTGAGTTAGATCCCTGGGACTGCATACCACGCTGGCCTCAAAACCTGGGCAAGCTGAGCCAGCTACCAAAACTGGGCATGGTGGCCCATGTCTAAAATCCCAGGGCTGGGGTGGCTGAGACAGGAAGATCACTATGAGTCTGACCTGTATAGTGAGACCTGTGCCAAATAAATAAAGATTTTTTTTAAAA